AAGACTCTACGAATGCATTTCCTGATCACAGGCTAAGTCTTCCTCATATCTCTTAACAACAATTGCTCGGTTCAGCCCAACACTAATCTTCTACTCTCACATACCAGTGCACCACTACCACTGCTCTCTCTCTCTTTCTCTCTCTCTCTCTCTCTTTCTCTCTCTCTCTAACGTTAAGTATCACTGATTTGAAGCCCAAAAAAACGTATCCTCTCATTAGTATTTTTAAATGCATTTGATTTCCATTTGGAATTAAATATTAAATTTATTTTTCTATATATCTGTCGCTCTCTCTCTCCACTGACTCCCTTAACTCCCATATATTCTGGCGATGCACTCGTTTCTCATGTATGTGTGCCCTTCCGCCCAAAGGGACTTAAGCGCCGCATCCTTTTCCTTATAATGATATACACTATGAATAAACATATCTCTATAGAAACATATCTATTAAAGCGATGCAAAACACTAACTAACCGTTTGAACAATTGTTAGACTATCGCTTTGAATATTCATAAGAATTTTATGTCCAAAAAATAAGTGAAAAATTCTTGAATTTTATGCACTTTAAGAGCAGTCGCTCTTTCAAAGTCAGACGAAAATAATTTATATTATTATTATTTATATTAATTCTAATTTAGTTTAATTAAAAAGTCATTAAAAATACATCTACTTTACTGAACGTAAGGACACTTATTCTGGGAAAATAAATTAAAATTTATGGATATATTGTTCGTGCGAACAATGTTTGGGTTATCTATTTCGTTGGCTATATATTTATTTGCGATATAATTTTTACTTGTTTTCTAAACATTTTGCAGAAAAATATTTTTCTATAATCTTTAGATATTTATATGTATAAACATTATGTAAATGAAAGTTTTATGTAAACGAAAGTATACAAGTTTTATTTTTTAATTTTAAATTTCAAAATAACAAACAAACATGGCTTCAATTTATCGGCTTTCAAGTTATAAATCAAGACATTAGCTAAACTACAGGAATAATAATTTAATTAAAATAATTGAAAATATAAATTACAACCAATTCTGGTACTAATTCATAAATTTGAAGAATATTCTGTATTAATGCCAATATTCTCACTGATAGGGGGTTTAGGGGCATAAAAGGGCGATAATTTAGGCTATAATTGGAGTCATTCGTACAGAACTAATACTATTATTAAAGAGAAATATCTAAAGATCTTGAGGTCAGTGCCCTTTAAAATAATATTTCACAGCACCGGTCACTCAAATAGTGAGCACATTGCAAGCCCCGGGTCACTCTCTCATTTGGCTTATGGTGAACAGTGAGCTCAATAAATAGTCGCAATCTATATATATATATTTCATTGGAAATGTGTGAACCAAAGTGATAGAAATCCAATACATTTATATGGAGTGCATATCTAATGAGAGGATACGTTTTTTTGGGCTTCAAATCAGTGATACTTAACGTTAGAGAGAGATATGTGAAAGAAGATCACAGAAACACATACGAGAGGACAGGGATGCTGGAGAGAGCGAGAGAGAGAGAGAGAGAGAGAGAGAGAGAGAGGCAAAACACACATTAAAGTCGTCATTGACTCCCTGGAGGTAATGTAGTGAACAACTTGTGACATAATATCATAATTCATAGGCGTTTTCTCCTAAAATGTCAAAATAGTTTACCGAATATATAAATATAAATATTTCACTGTTTCGTAAATATACATATCATGTCATATATTCATTGGCCGAAACCACTGGTTTAGTTAATGTGTGGAATATGTTTTAATAAATATTATGTAATATTATTAATATATGTATCTCTATGTAGCCGTTAACTGTAAGAAACAAAAGTAAACTGCAATAAACAGGGACAACCAGTGTTACTTATAAATTTAACTAATTCCTATAATACTTATAAGTTATAACATAGAAAAACCTTTATCTAATATAACAGAATATTTTTATATAAGATTAAAAACAATTGTTTTAAAACTATATTGTATCTCATAATGCATTACCGCTACTCTACTCATTATATTGTAATTAATAATCAATGCTATACTCCCATCCCTTTGCAAGTTCAATGACTTGGCTATTGTTCATATAAATGATTGTATATTTATATAAAATTTGATGCAAGGAATTTAAAATTTAAATTATATTCCGCTCATTGGTTTACATTATGGATGACATATGGGTTGGACCTGTTGGCCAAACACAGACACCACACACTTTTTGCAAACCATATTTTTATTTATGAATTCTCGGAACCGTTTGTTTTGATACTTTTAGGCAAATGTGAAACAAGAGAATTTGAATTTGTAATACCATTCAAATGATTTACTAAAAAATATTCCTTATTTATAAAATGTAAGTTTTATTGTATCTAAATAAATAATATAATTGCAATATAATAAATGTTAAAATCAATTCTTTTATGATTAATATAAAAATGATAATTATATTTCTATATTACAATTAAATAATTAAATTATATGTTTTATTTGTAGCAATTCCTTTAAAATATTAGAAATTCTTTGGTAAAATTATCCATTACAATACTGTATAATAAAGGTTATAATTTAAACTGTAAATCAGAATCAACAATTTATTCATTATTTAATTAATAACAAACAGTATTAGTCAGCTTAAATATACCTGTATATCACTTAAAAACAAATATTACAGCAGTTTCTAAAATTACAGCAATTATCTCATTTGAACATTAAATAAATAGTTAGCAAATAATATATTGTATATAATTTACGCTTAAATAAATTCCTTAAGAAAATAACATAAAGTATTAATTGGATAATCAGAGAATCAGCACAAAAAATAAAGTAGTTTTCAAAATAAAGTGTATTTTTGAAAATTTTCGCGAATCTATTCAAAAGAAAGTCAAGAAGTGAAACAAACTCTTAAATGAGACAAAACTCGGTATAGAATTCCAGGGAATTCGCTGAGAGAGAGAGAGAGAGAGAGAGAGAGAGAGAGAGAGAGAGTGAG